TGAGAAGATTGTGAGTTTGCATGGTATTCCTTCTAGTATTGTGTCGGATCGAGATCCGAGGTTTACATCTAAATTCTGGACGGGATTGCAAGAAGCTTTGGGTACTAAGTTGCGTTTGAGTTCCGCTTATCATCCACAGACAGATGGTCAGACGGAGAGAACGATTCAGTCGTTGGAAGATTTGTTAAGAGCTTGTGTGTTGGAGAAAGGTGGAGCTTGGGATAGTTATCTACCATTGATTGAGTTTACCTACAACAATAGTTTTCATTCGAGCATTGGTATGGCTCCGTTTGAGGCATTGTATGGTAGGAGGTGTCGGACACCGTTATGTTGGTATGAATCTGGAGAGAGTGCTGTGATTGGACCGGAAATTGTCCAACAGACTTCGGAAAAGATTAAGATGATTCAGGAGAAGATGAGGACTTCTCAGAGTCGTCAAAAAAGTTATCACGATAAGAGGAGGAAAGATCTTGAGTTTAGCGAAGGAGAACATGTTTTTATGCGAGTTACTCCGATGACTGGTATTGGTCGAGCTTTGAAGTCAAAGAAGTTGACTCCACGTTTTATTGGTCCGTTTCAGATTACCAAGAGAGTTAGGAAAGTTGCTTATCAGATTGCTTTGCCGCCGTCACTTGCAAATTTGCATGATGTTTTTCATGTATCTCAGCTAAGGAAGTACATTGCTGATCCGTCTCATGAGATTCAGGTAGACGATATACAGGTACGAGAGAATTTGACTGTGGAAGCGGTACCTGCGAGAATTGAGGATCGGAAGTTGAAACAGTTGCGAGGCAAGGAGATCGCGTTGGTAAGAGTGGCTTGGGGAGGACCAGCAGATGGAAATGTCACTTGGGAGCTGGAGAGTCAGATGAAGGACTTGTATCCCGAACTGTTCGTCTAAGGTATGTTTTCGAGGACGAAAACTCTTTTAGTTGGGGAGAGTTGTGACACCCCAAATAATCCGATTATTAAATAATTAGAATTTTTAATTATTAATTTAATTGGAAATTTAATTATTGGTATTTTTGGATTATTGGAATTAATTTAATTAATTAAAGGAAATAAGTATTGGTGGTGTGAAGAGTGATTAGAGGGTGTGAGGGATAAAATACTCTACTCTTACTAATTACTAATTTAATTATTTTATTGGAATAATAAAAGGAGTATTAAAAGGAAAAAGAAGAGAAAGAGAGTTATTTTGGAATATTCATCATACGTGCATTTGAGAAGAGGAAAAAGAAGGAGAAAACCGGAAGCGTCAGAATTCGAAGAACCCACAAGGTAAGGGGTGATTTCGATTAGTTAATTTGTATTATCGGTTTAGATATTCAATAGTATGGATCATAGTATGTTAGGGAATCCCGGTTTGGAATTCTAGGGTTCCGTAGAATTGTCCCTATTGCGTCGAATTGTAGTTCGAAAACCATTAGAGTGTCAGATGATAAAAAGGAATGATGAAATAATGTTGTTTGATGTTATAATGGTGCAAAATGGATGTGTTTCGGTGTTTCTCATGTTGCAATTCGTATGGGTATGTTTGGAATTGGTTTAGAATGAATAAATGCTGTCAAAAGTTCAGAATTTGACTCCGCAGGTTGTGGGAACCGGTTCCCAGTGGGGAGGAACCGGGTTCCACTGTGTGAATTTATAATAACTGGCAAAAATGCACGTAGGAACCGGTTCATGTATAGGTAGGAACCGGGTTCCCATACATTTTTCTAGAAGCGTGATTTTTGAACTTCGCAGGAACCGGTTCCTGCATATGTAGGAACCGGGTTCTGCTGTAACTTTTTGAAAAATATTAAACTTTGAAAATTCATAACTTTCAAACCGTAAGTCCGTTTTGAGTGCCGTTTTGGACGTTATTTCTTAAATTTAATGCTCTATTTTATAAAATGAAAAGATTTCCTAAAACCTGAAATTATTTTGAAAATGAGTCAAATCCCGGAATAAGTGATTATTGGCTAACGCACATGGGTGTGTATGTAGCAGTAAACCTGTGATGGATGAATGTATTAGTATTGTGTGAATGAAAGGCATGTTTATGTTGCTAATGATGGTGTGCATGATCATTGAGATATCATGTTTTTTGTTTTGGTTCAGTTATGATAAATTGATGTATTTCATAGACTGATTTGATGTTGCATGCTAGTGATGTGCGTGCATATGCATTGTTTTGGTGAAGTTAATTCCCATTGTGTGGAATTTGACTTGTATTGCCGTTAACCGATACCCGGGTGATGATGGGTGGTTAGGATGGATTCGTGTCCGGGTGTTTATGGACGAATCGATGGTTGCTGTATCCGGTTGATGATGGATCAATGTTGGGTGACTTGGTCACGTGTTGGTACCACATGCATTGTATCTGCATTTGTGTTTGCATGGAATTGTAACATGTTAGGATTTCTTCCAGTGTTACAATTCTTTGGTTGATTATTGATTTGTGCATAATGACTTGCATGATTGGAACTGCGTGTTGAATCTGAATTTATGCTAAAATGGGTGAAATAATATGCTTGTGATATAATGTTGATTGAGAAGCTTATAATGCATGTTAATTATGAGATCTCACCCTTACTTTAACAATTTCAGATTAAAGTTAGCAGCTCAGGAGTTGGTGAGGATGGCTCTAGAGCTATGTTACTTTAAGTCTGCGTGTCAGTGTCGTGCTCTGATAGGTTGTAACACTGGGGAACGTTTAGTTGAGGAATTAGTTATTATTCAATTGTTTCTTTGAATTTCATTGGGAATAATTATGTTTTGGTTTATTCCGTTTTGGTTATGGTATTTTTCCGCTGTGTAAGACATGGTCTTAATTTGATTGAATTATTTGAATAATGACCCTCAGTGTAGCATGACTACTGTTTTATTGGAAGTTTTATTTATTTCATAATTGTGACATCCCTTGTTCCGTGTTAACTCTGATGGAATATGTCTTTAATCATTGATATAATTAATATTATTTGGGGTATTTTAGAAGGGGTGTTACAATAGTGGTATCAAAGCATAGTCGGTCTTGTCTTGTGTCGTTATCCCTTTTGTATGCGACTAGTGTAAGATGACACTGTCGATACTTGTGTGCTGATGAGGTTGTTTTGTAATGTTACAGAACAATGGCCGGAAGAGGTAACGGACGAAACAACGATGCTATTTCTGAAGCATTGGGAATGTTGGCTGGAGTACTCGAAGGGAACCAGCAGGGAGCTGTGATTGGTGCTGACCGACAATTGGGGAATTTTCAGAGGAATAATCCTCTGTTGTTCAAGGGTGCACATGATCCCGAAGGTGCTCAGAAGTGGTTGAAGGAGATCGAGAGGATCTTCAGAGTAATTGATTGTGCTGAAGGTCTGAAGGTGAGATACGGAACTCACATGTTAGCAGAGGAAGCTGATGACTGGTGGGTTGCTACCAGAACTGAAATGGAAGAAGATGGTATTGCGTTGACTTGGGCTGTGTTTAGGAGGGATTTTCTGAGGAGGTACTTTCCTGAGGACATCAGAGGAAAGAAGGAGATTGAGTTTCTGGAACTCAAGCAGGGTAACAAGACTGTCAGTGAGTATGCTTCGAAGTTTACTGAGTTAGCGAAGTATTATGCTCATTATACTAACGATGCAGATGGAGAATTTTCCAAATGTATCAAGTTTGAGAATGGTCTTCGTGATGAGATTAAGCAGGGTATTCAGTATCAGCGTATCCAAAGATTTCCTGATCTGGTTGACTGTAGTAGGATTTTAGAGGAGGATCTTGCTAGCACTAAGTCGAATGCTCGAGGGTATGTTGATAGGAAGGGTAAGCAACATATGGATCGTGGTAAGCCTTATGATAGAAGTAATCAGAGACCCGGTGGTTGGAAGAAGTTTGGTGGAGGAGATTCTAGTTCTTCCATTAAGTGCTACAAGTGTGGTGAGACAGGACATCATATGGTGGATTGCAAAAGTAATGATAAGAAGTGTTTCAAGTGTGGGAAACTCGGCCATGTGGCCAATGATTGCAGAGTAAGAGTGGTGACTTGTTACAACTGTGGTGAAGAAGGTCATACTCGTCCTCAGTGTACAAAACCCAAGAAGGAGAAAGCTGGTGGTAAAGTGTTTGCATTGTCTGGGTTAGAGACTAAGCCAGATGATCGGCTGATTAAAGGTACAAGTTTTATTAATGACATACCTTTGACTGCGATTATTGATACTGGAGCTATGCATTCTTTTATTGCTTTGGATTGTGCCAAAAGATTGAATTTGGAAATTTCTAATATGGATGGAAGTATGGTTATTGATACTCCTGCGTCGGGTTCAGTGACTACTTCGTATGTTTGTAGGAATTGTCCTATTGTTATTTTTGGTAGGGGTTTCGGTATGGATTTAGTGTGGCTACCGTTAGAACAACTTGATATCATCCTTGGAATGAACTGGTTGGAATTCAACCAGGTTCATATCAACTGTTTTGCGAAGACGGTTATTTTTCCTGAAGAGGTGGTGTCGAAGATGTGACTATGTCGGTTAAACAGATGAACCTAGATGTGAAAGATGGTGCTGTGGTATTTATGTTGTATTCTGCAATAGAAGCGGAGGGAAAAGCAAAGAGTGATGGATTGCCAGTGGTGAATGAATTTCCAGTGGTGTTTCCGGAAGACGTTAGTGAATTGCCACCTGAGAGGGAGGTAGAATTTACTATAGATTTGATTCCTGGAACTATTCCGGTGTCGATGGAGCCTTACCATATGTCGGCATTTGAATTAGCGGAGTTAAAGAAACAGTTGGAGGAGTTACTTGAGAAGAAGTTTATTCGTCCGAGTGTTTCGCCGTGGGGTGCTCCGGTGTTGTTGGTTAAGAAGAAAGAAGGTTCAATGAGATTATGTGTTGATTACAGACAGCTGAATAAAGTTACAATCAAGAATCGGTATCCTTTGCCGAGGATCGATGATTTGATGGATCAACTAGTTGGAGCTTGTGTATTTAGTATGGAGTCCTTGCTTAGCCGAGCTGGAAGCTATACTCTAGGCGGGCTTAGAATCCTCTTCTTTTTCTTCCGGGAATGAGCTGTTGTAAGGCCTTGTCTTTTTCGAAAGCTAAACCTAAAGCATATTTCTTTTTTTCTAGAATAGGTGAATCCATGCTTATTGATTTCCTTCCCGAGTTGAGAACAGAGGACAATCCCACCCTAGCTATTGGACTTTTATCCTTATCGACTTTGACCGAAAGAGCTATTCTTTTCCTGAGACTGGGAAGCGTAAGGCCAGAAAGAAAGTCTTGTACGAGGTTCAGTTCAGGCATAGCTACTGGAAAGAAGTCATGCCTCATTCTTATTGATGTAGATGGGCAATCACCAATGGCTGAAATTAGAAAGGGCTTCGCTATGAATCCGTAACGACGTACCAACTGGCTCTCCGATAGACTCGTAGATACAATGGCCTTTCATCGACCCCTTTCTACTCACCCAGGAACCGAGGAGACAAAGAAAGATAGAAGAAGAATTATTATTTTTTTCTCCCGAGGGTTCCTTTAGAGAAGAATCACGCTAAATAGATAGGATCCAATTCCACCAATTTCAGCAATTACAAAAAGTAGCGAATGGAAAAAACGGAGTAGTTGGTCACTCAGGTTAGAAAAGGAAGAACCGAAAGAAGATCTCTAGTTGAGCCTTTACGCCTTTACTATTAAGAGAAATGTCCCACTCTTGGCACACAATCTCTAGGATAGGTTCCTAAACGTGCTATATCTAGGGACAAGACAAGGGTCTTAGCGAAAGAGGTAGGGCGAAAAGCGACCAACCGAGAGGGGCTATGTGCACTTAACGTGATCAATGGATCTGTCAAAGCTTTCTTTTATTACGCGTGTACCTATCTCCAACTCCGATAGGGGAAAGAGATTGAGGATAGTTTGACATAACCAGGCATTCATTCCTTAGTCACGAGTGAGCAGCTGCTTCTCCTAAAGACTGGGCTCCCAAGGCATAATACAAATATAAAGCGGATTAGGAAAGATTCCAAAGATTGCTTTACTCATAGACAGGGTTCAGGTTAAGTACGCTTAAAATAAAAAGGATAAAAGAAATTAATACTAAAAACTGAGGGAGGTGGGAAAGGTCCGGGCTCTTCTTTCTTTGATTTGAAAAGAAGGTGAGAGCCTTAACCCTCTGGTCTGTGGGTAAACCATTAAAAGAAAGAAAGCAAGTGTCCTGCCTGAGGAGCAGTTTATGAAACATAAATCCCGAGTAAATAGGCTTGAAGCTAGTGATCAAAACACTTGCTATTTTCACAGAGTTGTCAAAGCCAAAGCTGCTAAGAGCAGAATTCTATCTATCGCCTCTGCTACAGGAGATTGAGGAACCTGCTTTGATTAAAAAGGAATTCTTGCAGCATTTCAAGAATTTCCTTGGAACTGCAGATAGCAATGGTTGAGGTGGTGACACTGAAGAGATCAGATCATTGCTAAGCCATTTTATCACTGATGAGCAAGGATCTGCACTGGTGGCTCTTATGACGGCTGATGATGTTAAGAAGACAATCTTTCTAAAGGCAAATAAGGCACAAGGACCTGACGGTTTTACTGCTGAATTCTTTCAATCCAGCTGGAGCATTGTGGGGAAAATAGTTACCAAAGCTATCCTTGAATTCTTATCTTCCTTCAAGCCCACAGCCAGCCGATTATCTTCAATGTGAATGTGCCATTTTATCGGGAAAATTTGAAGCAATCACTTTTCCCTCTTTAGTGACAGTTCAATCCTGCTAGTTGAGCGTTTTCTCGGTCTTTTTGGATTAAAGATCATTTTAGCCCTACCTAAACTGGCATAAAAATGTGACAGTTGATCATTTTCCCCGTCTTTTTGGCATAATCTAAACGACAAAGTAGGATCAGAAGGCTTACGCACCCTGGGTATACGACGATATGAGTTCGTTTCGCACCTTGCCCAGCTTTCAGGAAAGATCCGATGCAGCTATCGAGAAATATAAGCTTGCCAGCCCAGAGTGGAGGGAAAGAGTAGCTCCTTGCCAGCAGCTTAAAATTCTACAGTGGTTCAGTCTGATTCGTTCATCCGGAAGAAAGGATATGAGGATTTTCACAAAGAAGCTTCCTAATCACGAAGCTAAGGCCTCAGGAAGAGGGGCGTAGCGAAACAAATCCTTTAACAACAGCAAAGACTTCGGATGGGAAACCTTATCTTAATAGGAAGTGGCCAAGAATCATCACTCCAAGAGAAATGCCCAATCAATTGAATTCATACCAGGGAATCTCCTCCTTATTCCTTATGCAGTGCCCTAGATTTAGCTGTTGTCAGAATTAGAAGCTCACACTGGTAAATTTATTTCTTTATAGAACCAGGTGAAAGGCGATCGGCCAGCGAGGAATTAGCCATAGAGAAGGGAAAGCTCCCAACCCAAGTGCAAATGCCATCCTAAAATGAAGCTGTTGGAGGGATATCCTCTGCTATTGACGATGCTGTTATTGGACTCGCTTGGCTCGGCTGGTCTCACTGGAACTCGGGGTTGGAGGAAGAAGGGCTACTATAGACTAGAGGTGAGGCCTTCTCATACCCAGTTAACTGATTTAAGGGAAAGTCCTGGAGCGGAGAAAGCGATCTTACTTATGAATGAAGCAGGGGGAAGAGACTGACTATCTTGCCGCTGCTAGTTTATTTTGGGAGAGTTGTTTGTTTACTGAATGCCATGCTGCTGGTACTGGTATTAGTACTAGAGCTGGTATTCGTACTCTTTGACTTACTAACTTTAGGCACTGAATGACATAGAAATCCCGCACCCTCAGTGTGATCGGTGGATCTGGAACTGACTGTTTAAAACTGGTTCGCGAAATGTCGCGGAAGCAAGAGTCGCCACCGTCTTTTATTTTCTCCAAATGGAAAGGACAAAAGCACAGAAAAATTCCTTAAAGAGATTGCTCTCGGTTCGGGAGGTAGGTTATAGAAAGGGAAGGTGTTAGCACCCTTTCTATCCATGGTTATCCATGGGCTCTTAGATACTTGCTCAATGTGTTTTCAAAATTGTTTGCTTGCTTTTCAATGTGGGTTTAAAAAAGTTTCTTTGAAAAGTTTCAGTTCGACTCTTGTATCGGTCCTCAAGAGTGTTTGAAAAGTTTGCTTTCGAAAGCTTTTTGAAAATGTGTTGGTGTGAAAAGTATTTTTGATTTGTTTTGTTTTGAATTAGAGCAAGTATCCACGAGTCGTCTACCTACCCTAAGGAATTCGTCTGTGTAAATGTCCTTTAAAGTAGTGCCATCCCACCATTGAGAGGTAGGTAGAACCACCGTTGGAGGTGTTCGGGTCAATTCGAGTTTTAGGGACGTGGTGATCACCAGAGCAATGGGAAGACACCTTAGAAGCTACCCTCATGCCAGGTTCCCGGATCATGAGGACTTACTAAGACGTCCTCTACTCGACGATCACCTTTCGAAAGGCAACAGCGAGGCGTACCCTAGGGGTGGTGTGTGCGAATTGTGTGTCATGTTTCAGTTATTTGTCTTGTCATGTTTGTTGTGTTCTACGCTTGATTTTAATTAAGACATTCATTCTTGCATGCTTTTAACAGTTAATATTCGCGAGGAAAATAAATCTAAACTATTACAAATGGCGCGGGTCCACATCGCCAAAATTAAACCGGACCCGATTTGACTGAAAATAAAGAAAGCGAAGTAAAAGTGCGAGAAATAAAATCGTTACATCGCTTTGGGAGAATTACATAATTATAATAAGCAATAAAGTAAATGCGCGAAATAAAATAATTATGAACATGGGCGTTGGACCCTTTTACAACAAATTAAAGTTAATAATGAATTAAAAATTAAAATTAAATGTTTTTGGTATTTTGTGTTTTTTAGGATTTAAGGAGAAAAAGAATTAATTAAAATTAAAATGAAACGTCAAACCCTAATTCTAATGTTTTTTTAGTTTATTAAGAAAATATTAAGTTTTAACCTAATTTATACCTAAATTAATTTATATGCAAAATTTAATTATAAAAAATAAATAAATAATAATATTATGATAAAAGGAAAAAACTAAAAGGAATGAAAATTGCTAATTAAACCTAATTCTAATTTTTGGATTTTTAGTTGTTAAAAAGAATTAAAATGGCAACCTAATTAAACTAAATATTTACATGTAATTTATTTATGGAAATAATTAAAATAAAATAAATATTATATTTTTTGCCTTTTTCTGATTTTATGATATTTTCCATATTTTGTAAAAATAATTAATTAATTAAAACAAATAAAAAAAAATAAATAACATAACAATTAAAAAAAATAAATAGGAAAAGAAAAGCAAACCAGGGGGGGGATTCAGGCCCCAATTTAGGAGGTGCAATTTGGAATGGTCTGGCCCAACAAGCCTTGGTCCATTGACTTTTTGCGTAGCGTGTGGCAAGGTTGACCAGCATCCACCATACACCTTGACTCTGAGCCCTTTGATGGATCTCCCAGGACGCGTGGGCGCTAATCACTGAGTGTGTATGATGATCCTTAGTGTGATGCCTGCATGGGAATTATTATGGCAAAATAATATGGAATTTGTCCAGACCTGGGACTTGAACCCAGGTCATGAGGGTTACAAGTACGTCCACCTGCCAGCTGAGCCATCACGTTTCAATTAACATATTATATTAAATAAATAACAAAAAGCAAAACCCACGCGTAATGGTTAAAAACGCGCGCAATTCAAACTAGCGAATCACGCTTCGCCAACACATCATCTTCCCCATTGTTTTTATTTTTTTCTGAAACAGAAGCCTATGGAAACGGTTTTGCACGCGTGGTTTTAGGCAACCTACAAGAAAATAACGATTAGATGCTGGGTGTATATAAATTAATCGCGAAGGTCAAACTCTCTTCGTCTTGATGAGCTGATTGCAATGGTCATAGCCTTGAGTCCTAATTTCACTTGGTTTGGGAAACCCCAATTTTAAAACCTGCAAACCCTAATATCCAAACATGGTAGATTCGCATATGTGGCACAAAAACACAATTGAATACGTTGGTTAGCTTAGAAACATCATTATGAGCATGAATCAATAAAGAAAAATGCAAAAAGATGCTTGAATTATGCTATACGATTTCAAGAATTTCGTGATTCAGTTTGAACATAATCTACCAATTCTTGGAGCTTTGCTTGTTGTTTGTGGTTGGCACACGTTCAGAGTTACCCAAGGAAGCTAATGGGATCAAGATTAGGGCTTGAATCGACCTCTAGAGTTGATTTCAGTTTTGAGTTTTTCAAGCAATTTTTCAAGTGTGTGATGTCAATTGCTGCGCAGTATTCAGTCTAATGCAATTAGGTTTCTCATCCTGCATATGTAGTGAGTAATTAGGTTAAGAAAATTGGATCAAAATCCATTGCTTTTATGAATTGGAGATTTGATTTTCTAAGGATCTTTTTTCAATCTTTTTCTCATGTATTTTGTATCAATTAAGCTCAATTAGTCCAATTCTTTCCTAATTAGCATGTGCACGAAATCTTGAGTCTAGAATGTGCATAAAAAGAATTTTTTAGGTCAAGTTTATATTTTCTACATATTTAAATAATTTAAATAAATTAATATTAATATAAATTCAAATAAATAATTAAAAAATGAGAAAATACTTCCCCTTGGGCTTAATGGTCGTGCATAGGCTTGGCATGAAGAAACTTGAAAGAAAAATGGGCCCATTTGCATTTTTAGGTCATTTGAACCAATGTTGACTTTCCAAAATTCCCAAAAATTTCCCAACTTCCACAAGGCATAACTTGCTCAATTTTTAAGCTTTTCACATGTTCTTGGACATTTTGGAAAGGTCTTTGAGTCCTATAACTAATGCCTTTTGTCCCATGTCATTTTGATTCACCAATCTCAAGTTATGGCATTTGACTTAAAGTCCCTTTTTGTTGACTTTTGAAAATGACCTATAATGTTGAAATTGATAACTTTTTGTGAGAGCATTTCTTGGACTTGAAGTATGAAGATGAGTTGTAGGAAATGTATTTCTCTTCAAAATGAGCTTTGGATGGAATTTTTCTGATAATCCATGTGAAAGTTATGCCCTGGTCAATTTCAGTTGACTTTTTCAACTGTCCAAATATAGCAACTTTTGCATCTTTGATGATTTCTGAGCCAAATTTTGAGAATCATGATCAAGCATTGATCAAATGATGTTTGTGGCTTCAAAATGATATATTGACCAAAAATTTGAACTTTTGACTGCCAAATGACCATTTTGCCCCTACAGTTGACTGTAGTGCAATCTAGGGTTTTGACTGTGCAATTTTGAGCTGAATGCCTTGAAACTTGACATGAGGATGCTTGATCATCTTTATAGGCATATGAGACTTGATTGGGCCTTTGAAAACTTCCTTTTCTTGATCAGAACACAAACCCTAGTTTTGACTGTATAGGAGACAGTTGAACTGCATAACCCTTGGGGAATTTTGTGACTTGGCTTGGCAATTTCTTGAAGAATATGGGAGGGCAAATTTTGGGGTACAACAGTTGCCCCTGTTCAATCTTCTTAGACCTGAGGATGCAGATTGGCTGACGTGCCTTTCGTAATCTGATGGTAAAAGATGATTGGACACTAGAGTGCCCAGAAATTTGCGCTCACATAGTGGCAGTGATGGTGGAATGGGCTTATAGATGCCATTTGGAGATTGCTGGATAGGATGATGGGCTTATAG